TCTCACTCACTCACTGCCTCACTCTCTCACTGTCTCACTAAAAACAAAACAAAAAAATGTAGATTTCTCTGGAGACTCAGGAGTTTTCCATTGAGGTCAAAGGGCTTGATTTTTTTCAATCAGCTGATATTTATCATCAGAAAAATTTGGGAAACACTATACTGGGGAGGACCAGAAGAAGACCAGCTACAGAGACTCTATCCCCTGTGTGGTTTAGAACACTTTTTCAAAATCTCTATTTCTCTTCTCTGTAACTTGTTGCAATCACGCCAATTCTGATTCATAGTGACCCTATAAAACAGTAGAACGACTGCACTGGGTTTTCAAGACTGTAAATCTTTATGGACGCGAATTGCTACATCTTCCTTCCGCAGAATGGTTTGTGGGTTCAAAGTACTGGTCTTATGGACAGCAGCCAAGCACTTAACCTCTGCACACTAGGGCTCCTTTCTCTTCACGCTAAACCCAAACAAAAAACCCCACTGCTATTGAGTCAATTCTGACTCATAGCGACCCTATTCAGCATTTCTGCCACAAAGTCAGGAGCAGACAGCCTCATCTTTCTCCGGCAGAGCAGCCAGTGGATTTGAACTGCCAACCACATGTTTAACCACTCAGTGCCTACTCCACAGGAGTACCAGGTTTCCTTTACTATGGAGAGACTAAAGTTTCCTGTTTGAAAATCTTCTCTCACAATGCCTAGAAAAATGGCCACTCAATGCATTGCACTCTCTACTCCCCCCACCCCTGCAACACACACACACACACACACACACACACACACACTTGAATCTAGAAAAGTTCGAGACACCCCTCAATCAGAAAGTACTTGTTCATGTGTCCATCCTCTTTCCAAATGGTAATTTTCCCTAAAGAATCAAATAGCCCTTTGCCCCAACCCCCATAACTAGGAGAACTCACCTGCCAACACCATACTGTGTACAATCAAAACACAAATGTCAAAAAGGTTTTCACACCACCTCAGACACATCTGTGTTCCTAGAGCACACTCTTAACATGATTTCAGACCCCCTAACATCAGAAAGGAGTCCCTGGGTGGCACACATGGTTAAACATTTGGCTGCTAACAGGAAACACTGGAGGGTCAAGGCCATCCACAGACAGCTCAAGAGAAAGGCCAAGTAAGCTACTTCAGGAAGCATCCGCCATTGAAAACCCTATAGAGCACAGGTCTGCTCTGACACACCTGGAGTCGCCAAGAATCCAAATAATGAACAGCAACCGGTGGATTCCATAACAAGGTGACCCCTAAAAGTGTGAAGAAATTCACATTCCAGGAAGGTATGTCCTGTCTCTTACTTGTACAACTCCTCTCCCCCCACCCTAGCTCAGCACACTGGCAGGAATAGGTGAAACCTATGTAAGAGGCCAGACTACAAAGGTCTATC